AATTTCTGGCTTGCTGGCTTGTAAACAATTACTACGCGTTCACTGTGATAAAACTTAGAAACCCAGAAACCTAGAGACAGGGGAGTATCTTCAGCCTCTGTCCTCTTCGGAATTCGAGATATAAAAAAACAGGAATATTGAATGTGTTCTTCCTTCTTCTGATTGCTTTTGTTTGAGTACCAAGATTCGTACCTCATTAATAGTCCAAAAGTTCGGCATCAGATAACACTGTGGGGCTTCAGAGCTCTTCGAGAGGTCATTCTTGGAGCCTTGATTGGATCTCGATCTTAGTTGGATTACATTGGATATCGAAAGTTCGTAAAAGCCATCATTGTGCATGTTTTCTCAGTGCTCATTTTCTGTTCACATGAAATGATCAGTCCGTCTCATTTTGCCAGTTTTTGAAAGAAGTAGAATGATTTTTCAATAAATGTTGTCTTTTGCAAGCAATAAAAGGGAGTAACTGACATGTTTCCTTCTGACATGTTTTCTGTTCAGGCAAATCTTTCTTAAACTCACTACCGGCGCCGTTTTCCACTTTAGAATCGGTTAGGAATAGTGTTAGGCCCCTGTGTTCGACTTTGGCTCATTCTTGCGAACAACAAAATCAGCTGCAGTTTATTTCCACATATACGAGAACACGCCGAGGGAGCAACCGTACATTCACTGAAGGGACGGCCCGCTGTAGATGGTCCGTTGATAGAGGAAACACTGATATCAATCACTGTTAGTGGGACAGGCATAACGGCGCTGTTGGGTAAAGTCAAAATCGAAGCAACTATCTTCTGGAAATTTTGGGAGCGCTTATATAGTGTTAGTTAAGGCAGAATAGAAAAGCGTGGAATAGTGATTAGTGGATAAAGGGAGCAAGGAAAAGCGGGACAGGAAAGGTCTGGAATGAAAGTTGCGGGAGGGAAAGGCAAAGAAGAAGGGAGAGGGGAAGGCCGGGATGGAGAGATTGACCCTCCACTGCACTGTAGAAAACTACCGGTGCTGAGTTCTGGATGATTTGTGCATGTCTGTAGTCTGGTTGAAGCTGGGTCGATAGCCATCGTTTTTCACTAGGATGGGGTCGCATCGAGACGATTGTGTTGTAATTTTTGATACGCTTTCACATTTACATACCATAATAATACTGCACAACCACTGTGGGACTGAAGAAATGGCCAGCCTCATCCTGGGCTCACTGTGACCAACACAGCATCTCTGACTAGTAAAGGGCCTTTGGTCCGGCACGGTCTGCCCAGAAAAGGTTACGTGTGGGTGAAACTGAAAATAAACTTCGCCAGCGGATTCGGTCTGGGAAATCGCTAAGCTCCTAGTCTCTTTTCAGAAAACGGGACGAATGCTAGGATCGCCGGCACGTTGGCCACTGAAGTACTGACCAAGTAATTGGGAAAGTTGTCAATTGCATAGCTGGAGAACAAGAATGTAATTCGTCAGCTGCTTTTAGATATTTCAGGTATGGTTGTACTTCGCACGCACAATGATTTTATAGTTTAGGATGAGGGAAAGCAAAAATTGAAGATTTTGGTGCTTTTCATATGCTGATCAGTTTCTGACCTTATTTTGGTGCATCCATTCCAGCAAAACAACTTATCGTGAGAAAATTTAATTGAACCAGTCTTTTAATGCAAGTCCCAATCAGTAAAACGTAATCGAGATTATCAATTTCGCTCAGTTCAGAACCGCATGAAAATAAACAGAATTTCTCTGTTTCGCAAAAAATAATCAAAATACGTCGTCACCTTTGCTGTGGAACTGGAAAAAAACAGAACGTTCGTTCCACAGCTGTTTTTTCATGAAAAATATTTTTCACCGACTTTTTACTGGAAGATTTTTTTTTTTTTGGTAGTGTATCAGTGGAACAGCGTAATTAAAATGCTCTTTCGATTTGTAATTTAATGCACTTTCCGAGAAGCTATTTTTTTCGCGCACGAAATGAGATACCTATTAGAGAGTGGGGACCGAAGGGAGGGAGTCGGGAAGGGGGAGGGGGAAGGGCGAGGTGAGGGGGGAATGATGGAAAAAGAAGGCAAACTTCCTCCTTTTTTGCACTTAAAAAGCGTCAAAGCTGTTCCTCCAGGAAAAACTGAAAAAAGAAAAATTAAACCGAGTGGTCACGAATACGTAAACAATTCGATTAAAAAACGAGTTTTATAATAATGAAGAACAAAAT